AAAAAAAAAAAAAAAAAAAAAAAAAAAAAAAAAAAAAAAGCCAATTTGATGTAGACCGCCCAAAACAGGCCGTGTTTTTGGCTATAGCAGATTAAAATTGAGGCTTTTCTCTTGAAACCTTCATTGGCCTTGTGCTACAAACATTGATACCACTTTGTGACCACAGACATAAAAAGATAAAGTGCCAGACTTGTTTTTATAGTCACCTTCAAACTTTATTTCAATGCTATCTTTAGTTGTCAATACTGCTGGAGGCCTTGAATTATGAGTTTCAATTACTAGGAAGTAGCTGGGGTGGTGGAAATTCATACATATTCTTATGTACCTTTTATTTTACTTAGACGTGGTTAGCAAGCGACTGTCCCGCTCTCCGAATTATATCTGTGGAGTATGACACCAGCCTCAGTGACTGGAGAGCAAGGTGTCCTATGGAAAGGTAACAAGGGACTGTGGACCGGGAGGAAAGGGAAGGGTTCTGGCCACAAGTGGATCCTGTGGGATGGGAAGTGATTTGTATCTTTTGATGCCACAGACAGGATTTTCTTATAAAAAGCTAACTTAGTCTTTTTTTCTTCCTTCTGGAAAGAATTGGTTCTAAATAAACAACAAAATAGTAGAAGGCTTAGATGCATTGTCAAATGGGCTCCTAACGTGGTTCATTTGTAACTATTGTGACAGTTACGGACCATGGATTCCATAGCAAAGACTCCTTTTCTACTGGAAGTAAAAGTGATATTTTTTGCTTTTGTGTTCACTGTCATAATTGGCTATAGGAAGCACAGAAAGGGATGCTGAGCAGTTCAGTTCTATATACCCTTGTATGTCCTCCATGCCAAGTATATACATAGGCAGGAGCATTGGGTTTCTGAGTTACAGGACCTAGACTGTAGCCTGATCCTACCTTTGACTCGCTGTGCTGTCTTCGACAAGTCACTTAACTTGTCCGGGGAGCTTTGTCTGCACATTGACAGAATTGGTCTAAATCAATGTTATTAGACTCTGCTCTCTGAATGGACCCCATGTAGGTGTCCAAGAAGGGTGGCGAGGGTGAGGGGGCAGGACCCCAGGGCTTTCCCATTTCACCCAGTGAATCTCTGGAGAACCTTTTTTTTGAAGGAAGGTGTCTACAGATAGAGTTTGAAACTACCAGACTAAGTAGTTTTGAAGTTCCCTTTTAGTTTGAAGATTACTTATTTTGAATTCTCTGATTCTAATAGCTTCCTATTATTATTCTAAATAATAAACCCAAATGATGAAAGCTTAATATTTGCAGCATAAATATGACTTGAGCTAAAACTCACAAGAGGGAAGTCTTTAGTGACGCTTTTATTGTCAGGCGTTAACAGGAATGAGGAAGGACACACACACATCCTAAGTGGAGGGGCAGTTGGGGTGAGACCCAGGTTTGACCATAAAAATTGCCAGACGTGTATTAGTTGCTCAAACAATGCTTATTTAGTCAATGAGTGGCTTGCTCGGGTGTTAGATATTCCTGATTATGCCAATGTTAATAAGTTGCAAATAGAGAATGAGTGATTTCAGAAGTTGAACAGATTATTCTAACTCCAAAATGTAGTGCATAGCATTGGTCCAATAGACAATAATTCTTGACTTAAAAAATTAGCAAAATTTGGGGGATTGATAGCCTCCTGTCATGCCTGCTGTTTCCCTTTTGTACAGAAAGTCCATTGCATTCAGAAGCAACGAACTTCTTATGAAACTCAGAGCTGCTGGTGTAGGGGATAGGCCAATGATTTGGATATCACATAGTATGGGAGGTAAGTATGGTTTTATCTGTGCCAAGTGACCGATGCGAAATTATCGTCTGCCAATGCAGCCAGCCTAAAGTTAACACATCTCTCTGTTTTACTTAATAGTGTCCCTTTTCCCTCTTAAATTAATGGTTTTGGCTATGGCTAGGAGTTTTAAATGTACATCTCTTCTTCTTTCCTATTTGTTTTTCTAGAAGGGGACAACAGTAACAAACCATATGAGAGGGATCTGGGTTTGACACGTGAATGTTTCCACGTAGGACAGCATCCCTCAGCATTCCTGGCAGGCCCCAGAGGCCCCCCTTTCTTCCTGCCTTCTCCTCCTCACCATTGCTGACTCCCTGTGGCTTTGATGCAGCCACCCCCACCCCCAGGATGCTGCTGGTGGAAATGCAGTGGTGCCTGCACTGTCTGGCCCCCACTGCTGCTGCTCAGGTCCCAGTGCTTGCTTATCAGGCCACATCCCTCGCCCCTCCAGCCTACTCTGCCCTAACCCAGCTCTTAGTTTTCACTGTCCACCTTGCAGACAGCCATTCTGCAGTCCTGGCCTGGTTTAGCTGTTGCTCAGTGCTCAGGACTGCCGACTCTGAGCTGCGGCTTTTTGCTGCGAGAAAGGTGGATGTAGCCCTGTGGGCCCTCAAAGATCCTTCCTAGCTGCATTTCCCATGGGAGCTTTGTTGCCGTGATGGATGGTGTTTTCCATGGTGGAACTATGTGGTTTTGAATGCTAGCTGTCCTAAAGGTGTGGCCATTAGTGGACTGCCACAGCGGGTGGGGAGACCAGCTGCTGCAGGCACTTCACTGACGCAGCGCCCCGCTTAGGAAATGCCTAGTCTTCCTTCAGGGGCACAGTAGACCCTGTGCTAGAAGATCTGCCCTACAAACGACTTTCTAGAATCTTACCTGTCTGTAAGCCTGAGCTGTAAGTTCTAGAGGAACAGTATTATCAAGTGTTAATATTTTAGTATTTTAAGGCCCCGTTTCATGTACTACAGAGAATTATTGTTTAAACTTTTTTTAAAGCATCTTTTTTCTTTTAGAATAATAGAGAAGGAAAATAGCTTATACATTGTTTTTCTTTCTTCTTTGTGGCTAGGTCTTCTTGTCAAAAAGATGCTGTTGGAAGCCTCTAAGAAGCCAGAAATGAGTACTGTTATAAACAACACCAGAGGAATAATTTTTTATAGTGTCCCTCATCATGGATCACATTTGGCTGAATATTCTGTTAATATTCGCTATCTTCTCTTTCCCTCTTTGGAAGTCAAAGAACTCAGCAAGGGTAATACTTTCTGTCAAGAAGGAAATTGGGGTTGTATTAACATCAGTTATACATGATAAAAAGGAAAAAAGTTTCTTCCTTGAATATTATTATTTCTACCTTATTATTTGTATAAAATTGTGTTTAGACTATCCTTGGAAAATTCGCTTTGGGCTTGATTTTTCTTTGATACATTTTCTTTTTGTTCTCAAGTCATCATTTACTTAAGTATATCAATAATTTTAATATTATTTTATACATAAGGTTAGAAAAAATTATATGTTTTGCTTTAAGTGTTATTCCAAATTACCAATAAACCTCTTTTTTCCATGAATTTCGAAAACCATCAACTGTTAAAATACAAATGAGCTTTTAGATTTTTAGCATGTGAATTTTGAAGCAATGTATTTGTCTTGATAAGTAAACATCTTCTCTCTGGAGCACCAGTTAATCAGAATTTGGACTCCGCAGCTTGAGCCTTAGTAGGCCAGTCGTCCTTTTGCTCATGTTTTCTCGTTCTGCCTTATGGAAGACTTTATCTTCTAACCTTCCATTGACTTTCACTTTTTTAAGGTCAGATTTTGCTTTCCACATGCTCTTTCTTATCCTGGCTGTTCCTTACTCACATCCTCCTCCCCTTTTTTGTGGCTGCATTATCTCTTTCCACATTGTTCTGAAGATATTAATGAGGGGGTTTTGAAAGTTTCTCTTTCTGCCTTCAGCTCTGTTTTTCTGTTGGCTTATCTGCTCTGTCTCTTTCAGGCTGTAGGCTTCCTCTGGTACCTGGTGCTTCTGGGTTGCCCGTTCATATTTGAGGATGAAGGGACAGGAAGGGACCGGCACCCTGTGATTATAGACAGGCTTTGTTGATGGGAGACTGCTTTAGGATGGGTGGGGTGTAGCCATCACACCAGGGGATCCCTGCAGTCCCACCCACTGAACTGCCCTGCATTCTGCTTCCTGCCAGCCAGTAGATGATGAAACCTCTCCTGATGGTGATGTCCTCTCAGTTCTTGGTTGGTTTTATAGCCCTTTACTCAAATCTTTATGGTTTCTTGGCAGGAAGAGAAACTAGTGTGTACTCAAGCTACCATCTTGAATCAGAATCCTAATTTCCTCTCTAAATTTGAAAGATTAATACATTTTATTATGAATTGGGTAAACAGAATTTGTCACAATCTTGTTCTCTATAATTTTACAGATTCTCCTGCACTTAAAACACTACAGGATGACTTTCTGGAGTTTGCTAAAGACAAAAACTTCCAGGTGCTGAATTTTGTAGAAACACTTCCAACCTATATTGGTAGCATGATTAAACTGCATGTGGTGCCCGTGGAATCAGCAGGTATTCACTCTTTTGCAACTTGTTGGCCATTAGATACGTTATTGGTGCTACCTAGCATTTAATTATAAACGTCAATTTTTATATCCAGTTTCTCAGTTTTAGGAGATAGTTTCATGAAGACCTAGACGCTAATGTTATTCTTTTTAGCCATAGACTAAAATTTCTCTGCAAACATAGAACCTTGGTATTAGCTCTTGCCTCCATTTAACTGATTAGATGACAAGGGTTAATTGGCTAATTTTAGGTAAGGTGTCAAAGGTGAGCTCTATTGCATTAAGGTAAGAATACAGAGCTCTTCTGTCAGCTGGATTGAAAGAGGCACTTATTTAACAGATTGATAGCTGCACTTAGATACTTTAAAAAAATGAACTAAAGGTGTGAGAGCTTTAGTAAATGGAAGATACATGGGGACTACTCAAACAGGAAGTGTTCTGATGGAGAAAACAGTGTTATACCGATACAAGCTCTTCACGGTCCTGGGATTGGACAGTGCCTGCGACTGTAGTGTATCATAGTGTATCACAGGCTTTTTGAGGGAGGGGCCCAAGTCTTAACTCTTTACAGGCTCCTGTGTCCCTCCGTGCAGAGCAGACGCCCAGACTTTTCCCGATTGCGTTGTTTCCCTCACCTGGCTGCTTCCTCAGCGTGCCTGTCATCTCTGGGAGCACTTTTCTGATCACCTCTGAGGCTGGCTGAGGTGCTGTCCTGCTAGCACTCAGCCATACTGTGAGCTCCTTATGGCCAGGGACAGAGTGTATCTGCAGTGCCTGCCAGATGATTCTTCAGTCTGGTAACAAATTTTGTCCTAACTTCATTATGCACTGTCTAAATAAAGTGAAAAATACTTAATGCTTTGTAGTGGAACCTAAAAAACGTTACCTCAAAGTTACATGCCATAGGGCGAGGAGTTACTGTTTAGCAGTTGAAGAACTTGAAGAGTCAAAGAACAGCTGCGATATGTTTGAAAAAAGGACTTTGGAAGTTTGAAGCAAAAGCGAAATGAATATCATGGACCTGCTGCTTGTTAGTGACATCACCTTGTCCTAATTCTGTCTACCCCCTTCTTCCTTGTCACCAAGAGGCTCTTCTTCCTTCCTAAATACCACCTGCATTCCTCACCTAGGTGGTGTCACTAGTACCTCTTGTCACTTCCATCCAGGTGGACATTGTTAGACTCAGACATCAGAAACCCTCCCAAGGCTCTCAAGCAATCAAGCACTAAGTCATCCCCATGCCTCCCAGTGGAGTGGTCATGGGATGTGGGTACAGAATGGATCCCATCCCCTTTTTTTCATCAGGACGAGGGAGCTCATTATGAAGTTTATAATACAAACTTTGTGGAATAATTTAGTATAATAACCTGCAGGGGTAAGGTTTTGAAGAAGCTAGTGCTCAGACTCTGCTCACTGCAGAACTAGGAGGTGGGCCAAGACACATGGGAGGAATTTATGAAAAGTATAAAATTGTAATTACACTTACTGAGAACCCATTCTTGCGTGATTAGTAGAATGTAGTTTAGCTGCAGTCAAACTTCAAGTTCCTTTATCTTTTAAGAGTCCCTTATCACAACTAAACCAACATTTAGAACTACCCATTTGGCCTCTGTCAATAGTGACAAGGGGGGAGGCTTATATTTTTACTTGGATTTATTGACATTTTTGTTTTCTTCAGATTTAGGCATTGGAGACCTAATTCCTGTGGACGTTAACCATCTGAACATTTGTAAACCAAAGAAAAAGGATGCTTTTTTGTACCAACGTACTTTACAATTCATCCGTGAAACTTTAGCCAAAGACCTTGAAAACTAACAATTGTCTTCTTCCATTTTTCATATGTGAATAAAGAGCAAGAAACTTCATGTTCTCTTTTTAAGCTCTAAGCAATCATGCAAATATAGTCACCGTGGCATTGACATGGTCTGGAGTGTGTTGAGGACAACAGAACATTGTTATCCATCCAAGCTCTGTACAGCACCAGCACAGAAGTGGCAGTCACAGAAGGGAGGGCTCGCTTGCGTTCCTTTGACTTAAAGGAATCCCTGTGTGCCCCTCTGTGGTTCTCAGTGTTGGGCCAAGTGACTGGGAGCCAGCTGCTGTGGACAGTGTGCCCTTTTCACCTGTGACTGTCCTGGCTCTTGGAGGAGCATTGAAGGGAGAGCCGCCATCAACTCAGCTTACCACAAAATGCCATTAGGAGAGCACCTAAAATGCAGAGAATGAACTAGAACTTAAAGGACTCTGTTTTTGTTCTGGGTATCCATGTGCTGTAAATTTTTTTACATGTGTCGGTTTTTTAAACTTTCAGTTCTTAACTTTCAGTTAAACCTTTGTCTAACACATTAGCACTGGTGTTAACTTTGTTAGACCTACTGTTGTGCATGGGTCAGTTCCTCGTATATTTCTGTTTTCATATTGCTAAGAACAAATCTTTTTTTAAAAAAATTTAACTTATAGTAATTCTTTCCAAACTGTAGCTACCTATGCTTGTAATTTGTCCCAAATAAGGTTAAAGGAGCTAATCCACTATTGATCACAGTATGAAATAAAACTACTCTAAGCCATTATATATATTAGCAATACTTAGTATTAGGTTTCTCAGATTTCTTTGGCTAAATAAAGTGTAACTTTCTTTCCTGCTCATTTGTAAGTGGTATTAATTGACCTCCAGCATGTGAGATACAGGAAATCATGTTGATGGACTTTCTTTTCTTTTGAATAACAGCATTATTGAGATATAATCCACATACCATAAAATTCACCCTTTTAAAGTGTATACAATTCATTGGTTTTTAGTATATCCAGAATCGTGCAACCCTCATCACTATCTAATTTCAGGACGTGTATATCATCATCCCAGAAAGAACCCCTTAGCAGTCATTTCCCACTGCCTCTGCCTCTGCCTCTGGTGAACACTAATCCACTTTGTCTCCATGGATTTACCTGTTCTGGACATTTCATATAAATGGAATCATACAATATGTGGCCTTCTCTGTTTGCCTTCCTTCTCTTAGCATAATGTTCTCAAGGTTCATATGTGATGTAGCATGTATCAGTACTTCTTTTTTATGCCTAAAAATATTTCCTTGTTTGGTGTGCCAGATTTGTTTACCCACTCATCAGAGCAGTTCATGGACATCTAGGTTCTGTCCATTTTTTAGCTCTTATGAATAATGCTGCTATGATCATTTGTATACAAGTTTTTACATGGAAAGATGTTTTTAATTCTCTTGGGTGTATACTAGAAGTAGAAATGCTGGCCAAATGGTAAGTCTGTTTAAAATTTGAAGATGATGGATTTTTGTAGAATGGTATAGACAAAGCTAAAATTGGAGTACAGCATCCGAAGGAAAACTGGGGTCATCAGTAAACCTTATCAACATCTAATTGTTTAATTATACAACATAACTGACTTACCCACTTTTTAAATGATGTAGATACAGAGAATATGACTGTTTGAAGATGATGGATTTTTGTAGAATGGTATAGACAAAGCTAAAATTGGAGTACAGCATCCAAAGGAAAACTGGGGTCATCAGTAAACCTTATCAACATCTAATTGTTTAATTATACAACATAACTGACCTACCCACTTTTTAAATGATGTAGATACAGAGAATATGACTAGCTAATGACAATAATGTGCTAGCTAATGGGGTGAAAAGGGGAGAGGGTAGATGTATTTGGTACATTTTCTTATTCTGTTTTCCATGAACCATGGCAGATAAACCACAGTTGAAACAACTAGTTCATTAACAGAGTAATGAAATTAAATTCCTGTCCTTAAAATCTCAATATTACTGGTATAGCCATGCTTTAAAAATAAGATCTGGGTGAGATATCCAGTGGTATTAATAAATTACGATTTTCAGGTGAGCTACTTAGTATTTCTTTTTATTCTGTCTATGAAGTGGACAGTCCACCCTCCATTTATCAGACGAACAGGGGTCTGGATGAAATTCTTTATACACAAGGTGAAAAGAAATGGCATGGCACTTCAGCAACATAATAAAGCGAAACAAAACAATATGTAATGATGGCCGAAGGTTCATTTCTAAAAGGAAACATAATACCTGAACAACAACAACAAAGTGAAGAACAGGGAAAAGGTAGAGATGTGGAAACAAATTGAAAACCAAATCAGCGGAATTACAGAATTAAGTAAAAACAGCACGTTAAAGAACATAGATGGATGAAAGTCCTGTTAATAGAGGGACAGCTTGATGGACACAGAACCACAACAAATGCAGGAAAATAAAATGATTAGAGCAGTAATTAGAAGATAATAGATAAGATGGGCTGGCCCGGTGGCGCACTCGGTAGAGGGCGGCTCTTGGGAGCGCGGTGGCGCTCCTGCC